GTCTTCCCATTCTGCTCCCCTCCATCCTCCTTCCCTCTGGCTTTTCACCCCTCCGTCTTTCCATCTTTCCTCCTACTCGCCTCCTTCCTCTCTTGCCTTTACACCCTTTCCTTCTCCTCCTGCCCGCCCCTGCCCCTCCATGTGCACCTTCGCTGTCCCGCCGCGCGTGTTTTCCCCATCCATCCATCCATCCATCCATCCATCCATCCATCCATCCATCCATCCATCCATCCCTCCATTTCCCCCTTCCCGCGGTCTCCTGCCCGGTGTCTCCTGAGGAACAAGAGGGCTTTCTCCTCGGCTTTCTCCCCCGCAGCTGTTCCCCGGCCGCAGCTGGGATGGCCCCCGTGCTGCAGCTCCCTGGGGGATGCAGAAGCCCGAGGTCTTTGTTTTCTGCCCGGCCCGGATGGGGCCACGCGGCCTCGGGGCTCTCCCTGCACCCAGCAGGGGGGACAGGGCCAGGGGACAGCAGTGGTGGCACCTCTGCAGTGGTGGTGGCACCTCTGCAGCCCCTGAGCGCCCTGCACCGCTCTCCCTGCAGGTGGGGACCAACGGGGTCATCTCCAGCCAGGATTTCCCCAGGGAGACCCAGTACGTGGATGACGATTTCCCCACGGACTTCCCGGTCATCGCCCCCTTCCTGGCCGACCTGGACACCTCTGGGGACAGAGGGAACATCTACTACCGCCAGGATGACTCCAGGGACGTGCTGGAGCAGGCTCTGGGATACATCCAGGCCGGCTTTCCCCGCTCTGCTGCCGCCTTCGTGCCCACCAATGCCTTCATTGCCACCTGGGAGGAGGTGGGCGCCTACCAGGAGCTCTCCCAGGACACCGAGCCCTCCACAAAGGTGAGGCCCAGGGGCTGAGCTTGGTTCCCATCTGAAGGCGAGGCCCAGGGGCTGAGCTTGGTTCCCATCCTACACATCACTGGAGGATGAGTTTCTCTTGTGTGGCACCCAAAATTTCTTTCAGAGCAGCTGAGTGTTGGCTCCATCCATCCATCCATCCTTGGGTGAGCACCAGGAGGAACGTGGAGCTTTCCCCCTCTGCTCAGAGCTCTGGCAGTGGTGGGGCTGTTGGCCAGCAGAGGTTTAGATGTTGCCTTCATGGCTGGAGGTGCTTGAGCAAGGACATGGAGTGACAGGACAAGGGGGAATGGCTCCACATTGCTTGGATCAGATGTTAGGAAGGAATTCTTGGCTGTGAGGGTGGGCAGGCCCTGGCACAGGTGCCCAGAGCAGCTGTGGCTGCCCCTGATCCCTGGCAGTGCCCAAGGCCAGGCTGGACAGGGCTTGGAGCAGCCTGGGACGGTGGAAGGTGTCCCTGCCATGGCAGAGGGTGGAATGAGATGAGTTTTAAGATCTCAACCCAAACCATTCCATGATTCTGATTCTTTTCAGACAAAGCTTTCCAGTGCTGGCTGCTCTGGCTTTGCAGGGCAGAGGGTGGCTGGGGACACCCTTGTTTAGGTCACCCATTGTGCTCCTGACCTTTACTGGTGGCTCAGGGTTGATCTTTCCTCCTGCCCTGCGCTGATTGCACTGCTGGTGAGCAACCAGCTCTGGAATTTCCACCGTGGGCTGGTTTTGTGCCTGGAAAACAGGCTCAGAGGTGGCCTGCCAGCTCGGGGGGTGACCTGTGCTCTCCACCCACGGGGCTGATAGGGCTCCTGCGTGGGTGGACCTCCAGCACTGCCTGTCCCTGTCACATCGGGCTGATGATGTGCTGAGGAGGTGACAGCGATGCTCTGCCAGCTGCAGGGACTCCAACAGGGCTGAAAAGAGGAAAACTCTGGTGATGGGCACCCAGAGCTGGGTGAGGGGTGCTGGGCTCTCCCCCAAAGCCCAGCAGATGCCACCAGATCCCCAAGAGCCACCAGGAGCCATCCAGGGCCCTTCGGCAGTGCCTCGCTGAGAGGGAAGCCAAGCAAGGCAAGAGGCTGAGGTTTGGAAGGAGACAAGGCACATTTTTTCCTCTCATTTAAAAGCTGGGAAAGCAGCTGAAGAGATGCCATCAGGGGCCTCACAGCGACCTCGTGGCCATCGAAAACGCAGCCTCCTCTTCTTTGCTCTTCCCCGTTGTGGTTTTTCCCCCCTCTGAGAAGTTTTGGATCAGGCCTTAAAATGAAACCGGTCCTGTTTGGAAACGAGGAGCTCCAGGGAAAGCTCCTGAAATGCAGCTAGTGCCTGTGCTTTGCTGAGCTCCCCCTTCACCAAAACTGCTAAAAATCTCCCCAAACATCACTTTTTTTTTTTTTTTTTTTTTTTATCCCTGACCAAATGTGGTGTTTATGGAAACGCTGCCCTCCTGCTGCTCAGAACCAGGACTGACTCCAAAACATTTCCCCCTGCCCTGGAAAGTCACAGCTCTACTTTTTGAGCCCCAAAAGTAGAAAACTGGGTTAGGATGGGGAGCAGAGGATCCCCAGACCCCCTTCTTGGGGGTCCTGCCTGGCTAGGAGGTGGCAGTGCCATGTCCCCTCCAGCTCCATGGGACATTCTCCTGCTCCCTGCAGTGACATTTTCCCGGGGCTGCACAACGGGACAAGGCTGACTCTGCTTCTCTGGGATCAAAACTTGCCCTTTTGGGCTGGAATTTGCCCTTTGCAGCTCTTTGCTGGGGGCTTCCCCCCCTCCTTCCCTTCACCCCGCAGTGCCAGCACATCGGTGTCACCCAGCGTGTCCCCCCTGCCACCCACCCCAGCCCTGCAGCTGCTGCTGCTGCGATTTGGCTGCGTGGGGGAGGAATCCAGCCCCGGGGGGGGGTTATTCCACCCCCCTTTCGGGGTCTCTGAATGCCCGAGTGTGTGACAGGCACAACAAGGCTCTTTATATCCCGCGGGGCCGCCAGGAAACCCAGTGATGCTCTGGGGGCCCTGCGCCCCAAAATCAGAGTGGGGGGAGTCCCCCAGCCTCGCTCCCTCCCTCTGCTCTGGATGGTAAAACTGGGAATTCAGTCACTTTTCCTTCGCCCCAAAATCAGAGCAGGGGGAGCTCCCCAGCCTCGCTCCCTCTGTTCCAGGGGCTGAAACTGGGAATTCAATCACTTTTCCTTCGCCCCAAAATCAGAGCGGGGGGAGCTCCCCAGCCTCCCTCCCTCCCTCTGCTCTGGAGGGTAAAACTGGGAATTCAGTTACTTTTCCTTCGCCCCAAAATCAGAGCAGGGGGAGCTCCCCAGCCTCGCTCCCTCCGTCTGCTCTGGATGGTGAAACTGGGAATTCAGTCACTTTTCCTTCGCCCCAAAATCAGAGCAGGGGGAGCTCCCCAGCCTCGCTCCCTCCCTCTGCTCCGGGGTGTGAAACTGGGAATTTAAGGGAATTCAATCACTTTTCCTTCGCTTGGGCACTGTTCCTGGTGGGAAGGGCCGCTGCTCCCTGCTCGGCGCAGGAGCTCTGTGGGGTTGGTTTTTGGGAGATTGGGATGCTGGGTGGCTCGGGAGGAATGAGGCAGGAGGAGCAGGACCGGAATGAGGCAGGAGGAGCAGGACCTCTGTGGAGTTGGATTCTCGGTGTTTTTGGGAGATTGGGTGCAGGAGGAGCAGGAGCTCTGTGGGATTGGTTTCTCGGTGTCTTTGGGAGATTGGGATGCTGGGTGGCTCAGCAGGAGGAGCAGGAGCTGTCTGGGGTTGGTTTCTCAGTGATTTTGGGGAGATTGGGATGCTGGGGGTTCACCACGGCTGTGCAGGAGGAGCAGGAGCTCTTTGGGGTTGGTTTCTCGGTGTTTTTGGAGCAGGTGGGATGTAGTGGAGTTGGTTTTTTGGTGTTTTTGGAGCAGTGAGATGCCGGGTGGCTCAGCAGGGCGCAGCAGGAGCTCTTTGGGGGTTCGTTTCTTGGCGTTTTTAGGAGATTGGGTGCAGGAGGATCAGGAACTCTTTGGGGTTGGTTTCTTGATGTTTTTGGGAGATTGGGATGTGGGGTGGCTCAGCAAGGCTGTGCAGGAGGAACAGGAGCTGTCTGGAGTTGGTTTCTCGATGTTTTGGGGAGATTGGGATGCCGGGTAATTCACCAGGGCTGTGCAGGAGAAGCGGGAGCTCTGCGGGGTTGGTGTCTCGGGGATTTTGGAAGATTGGAATGCCGGGTGGTGCAGGAGGAGCAGGAGCTCTTTGGGGGTTGGTTTCTCCATGTTTTTGGGAGATTGGAATGTCATGGGGTTGACCAGG